TAAAATGTTTTATACACTAAACTTTTTATATCATCGATTATAAAAATTAGGTATTAAAAATTCCATGGAATATTTTTTGCATGCATTATATTTTAAATGCGGCGCATACATTTATTTTTTACAGTACACCTCGTCTCATTTATTTCTTATTTATCGTATTTGGCGCGATTTATTATTAAAATATTAAATATTAATAAAAATGATTGACAAGGTACGATTAAAGGATAGCCAAATTTTCCCTCCTCTCCAGCCCTTTCTCCTTTTTAGGCCCCTGTATATCAGGTACGCATGACTAAAATAGAAATTTCATTGGCTTTAATCCTTCTGCGGTAGTATAAACTTCAAGGAAACTTTTTAAATATTTCAACGCACAGAAACCCTCGGTTTCGAGAGTTGCTCGAATGTGAATCGTTGAAGAGCAGAAACACCAACGGACTGCTTCTAGAATCGTATTAAAAAGTACCTTATACCACTCTCTCTTCCCCCTGGCATATTTGCGTTACCATAGCATGTAATTGGTAAGACAAGGACGCTTTATTTTTTAACTTTCTTTTTCACGTCACTGGAAAATATTATAGAAAAGAAAGGCACGGAGATAGAACAGTTTCGATAAATAATTCAATTTCGTGTTTAAATTATTGTGAACAAGTTGTACACATAATTTTGATGACGCGTGTTTGAAAATTACGAACAGAAAAAATCAAACAATATAATATTGTAAGAATGAAAGTTTTAAGAATCATATAAAAATGTCGAAATAATTAATAATCTAAAATATTATCTTTAATTTAATGAAAAAAATAATATTTACGTAAGTGGATCCTAACGAACACTACCCTTTCTCTATTCTCTTTCAAACACTAATGTTTTTCTTTCTTCACACTCCCATTCTCTGTAATTCTCATGCACATTTCCATAAGTTCGATCTCTATGCATTTCTAGCCTAAGTTCGTCTGACAAAGAAAGACCACATAGAACCGTTTGTTTATCTTTTACCTAACGAATCCTGTGACGTACAAGAAAGGACGCTCAAATTGAAACGTTCTCTCGTTCTCTTATTGCTCATACACATCAAACACACACTAAACTCGCATAGACACGCCAAACTGTAAATCCTTACCAACAATGAAAAAATCTTAAAACGTACGAACAAAAATAATATATAAATAAATAATTCAATAAAACACGCGAAAGATTTTTCGAGTTGCACCGATTAGAAATTTTCTTCCAGATGTCGATAAATAAAATCTTATTACTTTTCAATATATATTAAATCATGACTCGTAATATAGAGTAATAAAAAGTTTTTTTCAATTTTCTAAATCAAATTTGTTAGAAAATATAATATTATACGAAAACAAATTGCTAAACGTATCTCGGGTGCATCGTAAACTTGATCTTACGGTTTCTATCGTTTAAGATTATATACTTAAATACATATATATATAAAAGCATAAGCAAGTAATAGTACTTACGTTGGTAAATGTGGCTATCGTAAAGTTTGGTCATAGCATAGACCACAGGTATATCCTATACGACATAATCTCACGTTTCTCGCTTATGCGTGTGCTCTTGTATTAACACATTTACTATATCAACATTATATATTGCACAAGCAACTACTAACACCCCTTTATCAAACTCGTCCTACTCGTATATGTGTGCGTGTATGTGTCTGCCTAACTGTGTGTGCGTGTGTATTATATATATGCACATAAAGTCGACAAACGTTGCACCTAAGCGAATTCTAACAATAGTATTAACGTAGTTTCCCACATGTATCGTAATATACCAACTAATCTCCAAGGTAACGTTAAAATGCTCGTATGAGCATTCGCATTCGCACACACGTAATACATCAAACGTATCAGGTGCAACATTTCTAATTCGTTTTAGATAATTTGCTTTAAATTTTCATGAATTCCTCTGGAGGAAAACGCGTTATTATTTTTCATCGATATAAAAAAAAGTCATTCAAAAATATCGTTTTACGTTTTAAGTCGATAATGGCGATGGAAAACGATGAAACAAAAAATAAAAAAAAGAATAGAAAGAAAAGATATAACCGTACTCGTTAAATCTCATTTTCTTTGATAAATGCAGTAACTTTGATTTGAATGTTTTTTATGTTTCTCTTTTATTTTTATTATTTCCCCTTTTCTGAAATTTTCTCATCTCTCGTGCGCGCACACGATGAATTTTTTCTCTTTTATTTTTCTTTTTTCTTTTTTCTTTCTATTTCCATACGATCTCCGGATTCGGTTTTTTATAAACGTTGCGAGGATACTTATCGCACGTTTTTAAGAGTAGTCGAAAAAAAAAAGAAAAGTAAAGAAATAAAAAAAGAACAGTAACTATTTTATATTAGAATAGTCGAGAACTTTGAAAAGATGAAGTTGTTCAGTTCATGTAGTTTAATAATCTGTTTTATCGATAGGATAATTGAAAGACCACTTTACGATGTTCGATTCGAAGTGTGAGGGATGAGGTGATGAAAACGGAGGAGGTGGTACTGAGGGTGAATGGGGAGGGGGCGGAAGAAGAAGAGATGGTGGTAGTGGCAAACGGTTGGCTCGTAAACGCATTATAGACACTTCTCAATGCTATTAGAGTCCGGAATCGTCGAAGGACTTTGAGCGAGAAGTTTCGTCACGTTTTCGATAATTCAAAACCGACTTCAGATGGTCGACCATTTCCTACACTTTCACTTTAACTTTATTCTTATAAACAATGTTTCCCTCTTCTTACTTTTTTATTCAATTTACCTATGTACTCGAAATATACACGTCGTTTGCATTTGAAATAATTTTTCTTGTTTGAAAAGGAAAGATTCGCGTTTCTCGTTTCTAATTCAAAATAATCTCGTACAAATTAAAAATCCTACGGTAAATTGTGTTTCTAATCTGCAATTAATTTCGAAGATAAACTTTTTCTAAGGTGTTTTTTTTCCATTCGAATAAATTCAAATTCGAAATGAAATTCGTGTAAAAAATTTCTTTTTTATACGAATGCAAAATTTGTATATAAAATAACGAAATGTAAAAATTACACGATTACGAAACTCTTCCGCGTCGTAAATATTCATAAGGTCTCCTTCCGATGGATTATAACTTGTTTAAACATTTATGCCACTTTTTTTCTGAGAAAAAAATTGTTCGTTAAAGCAATCCAAAACGCGCCCTCCCGACGCAAATATTAATTGCATAAAGTCGGATTTCAAAGTAAACGACGTAAATGTACTTCTATCGCGTTATCAAAAATGTGTTTCATCTAACGATAATGTTAACTACAAATATAAGAATTTCACTTTTAAACACAAATTTTGTGGTTACTCACCAAATTTGTATAATACCATCAACCTCACACGTGCGATAACATTTACAACCATTTGTTTTTTTCTATTAATAAGCATCATGTATTGTACAAATATACATACAATATATATAAAAAGAAAATAAAAAAAATTGCAATAAAAAAAGAAATAAATATAGGATAGTAGGAGTAAAGAAATTTTTTCATTTTGTTATATTTAACAGCTGCGAAACAATTTGTTGCGTTTTCCTCATATGTGTGTGCATCGATACACATACACGTATAGGTACGTGTATGTAGTTATATCCAATAACGCGGCAACGACCGTAAAGTTCGTAAAGAGCAAAGGCAAAAAGCCTCGGCTGACGTTCGAGTTATATGCTTCCGACGTGGCATCTCCTTCTCCGGGGTTGTTTACACAACGAGAAGGGTTTTGCCCGGCAGCTTTTCAGGGTAAAACGACCCTTCTTCTCTTCTCTCTCTCTCTCTCTCTCTCTCTCCCTCTCTCTCTTTTTCTCTTTCGTTCTTCTAACAGTTTATTCTCTCTTTGTTCCTCTTACGAGGCAAACCGGGGGTATAGGGCAAAGTTATTGCGAGCCACAATTCACTTGCACGGAAATCTCTTAATCTGAGCTTACAATCGCGACGAATGAATTACGTAGGTGAAATTCTATCGTAGAACCGAGCCGCACAACGATCCATTGATGACTACGTATACCTAGAGATATCTATATGCACACCTACACACATACGTGTGTAACTTATATGTAGATAGGAAGACTTAGAGGTTCGTTAAATCTCACTAAAGTATTACGAAGAATAATTTTTATTTTCTACCAGGTCGCGCGTATTTTTATCGGAAATGATAAAAATAAGAAAAAAAAATAAAAAGAAAAAAAAATTAGAAAAAGAAAGAAGTGAGATTAGAGAAATAAAATGGTCTTATCGAACGTAGTTGAAATGAAACATATTGTGTACAAAAGTAAATACTTATTTACTTCAACCACATTTTTTTTTAGATTAAAACATTGATCGACCATTTCGAGCCTCTAACTCGAAATGAGTTTAACTAACCATGGTTTTGATTTTACTCGTTGTTACCCGTTATTAGACTAGATTGCTAAAATGTTCAAATAAAGCGCGTGCGAAATTACAGGATACATCGAGGAGGACAGGGGTGGGGGGTGGGGGGGAGGGAAAGAAAGTTCTATCTATCTAAAAGCTTGCAGTGCTTTTTACGAGCCCTAAAAACATTACCGTCGCTAAGTCGTTAACTCGATATCCCTTCTCTATTTCACTTCTCTCTCATTCTCTTCAACACTACTGCAATTTCTGCAACCCGTTATACATAAATTTACACGCCAACGATGTAAGTGCGTCTGTTATTATGCGTTTGACTTCTATGAGATAATAATAATCAAGCAAAGCTGAAACATTTGAATATTTAATCGCTCGCCATCACGGGTTTACACTTTCGAGTTATTACAAGGGTTCAATCGTTCGTGATAATCGATAGAATAAATTTACAATCGAATATTTACATGATAGAAACAGTTTAACATACCTCATTCTGCATACATATGTATATATATACATGTACGTAAAAATATGTGTATGAATTCATTTTTATACTATATAATGAGTAATATATAATTAATTAATAAAATATTTTGATTTATATGTTTCAGGCCTCGTTTTACTCGACTGCACTGAAAACCTTGATCTCCGTGTCTACTGTGATACTGCTTGGCCTCATATTTGCTTACCATGCCTTAGAAGTTCAGGTGTGTATAAAAATATAAAGTGACCTTAGGTTAATCCTAATATCTCTCTCTCTCTCTCTCTTTTTCCTTATCCTTCTCTTTTGTATATAATAGCGTGCGCGTAAACAATCGTGCAGGTTGAACGATTGTGCTCAGTTTAGAATTACGAGCATCTGCGTCGATGCAACGTTTAGTGGAACATATTCGCGTATAGCTACCTCTCATGTAAAAGGATTATGTTCGAGTGAGTAGATTCTAGTATACACGATAACAATATTTTACGTGGAAATGTCACGATAGGGAAAAATTATTCTTACAAAAGTAAGATCTTGATTAAGATTCTCTTTGAATATTATGAATAATAAGTACGAAACAATTAAGCCTATTTCCGAATTTAATCAAAGATTTCCACTTTCTTTAACCTTTGCTGAAAACTCGAAGGAGAGAAAAAAAAAAAAAAGAAAAAAAAGAAAAGTACTAAACTCGAGAATGTTCAGAACCGAAAGTTAAGTACTTACGAGTCTCTCTCTCTCTCTCTATCTCTCTCTCTCTCTCAAGATGACTCTATTCGACCTTTCTGTAATGATGTTCGTTCGAGTAGTAAACCCTTTCCATGAATCGCACTTGACAAACTTCCGTTCGTTTCCGGCGGAATATTAAAGAGCTATCAAACCGAGACACCTACTTTAGAATCAGAGGTTCTCAAATTTAGATAACCTATTCGACCAACGACAAACCTATTTGTTCTTTGTTAAATCGCTTTTTTTTTTTGTTTAAAATATTTTTAATATTTACTAATAATTTCCGAATCGATCAATTTGATATTATTATATTTCGTTACTTTGGGATACGTAAAATTTTGAATGGAGATTAATTGCAATCTTTAAGAGAATCAGCATTTTTATTTTTTATTTTCTTTTTCTTTTTTTTTATATTCTATCTTTATTTACTTGTTCCCTCTCCCTCTTTCTCTATCTATCTTTTTCTATATTACTATTCGATTTTCAATACCCTTTAACAATACAGTATCGATATTCCGGTTACCTCTAAATTGTCTTCGAAGCTTGGAGTTATTGTGTGTCTGTCGTTGATGCAACGTCACGACGATAGAAAATTTCAACTGGAACTAAACGAGACCCGTCCAAATAGTCGACGAGAATTCGTTCATATGGTTTTTCCTATCTTCCGAAAGTAAAAAAAAAAAAAAAAAGAAAAAAAAAGAAAAAAAAAAAAAAAAAAAAGTGAAACATATAATATTAACAGTTGACAATTCTTTGCGAAAACTAAATTTTTAAAAAAATTGTGTGACACACGTTGTTTAAAACATTAAATTATTTGTCGAAATATATTATATTACATATATATATATATTCGTATATGCATATACATATATTCTTGTAACATGACAGGAATAATTATGGAGGACATAACATTGGCCGTACGTCTATTTTACGGCTATTGCGTTAAAACAATGCACGTATGTGTTATATGCATATATGCATATATATATATGAATATACAAAGGTTGATAGAGGTATATAATATCTAGATATATATGGGTGTAGATGGATAGTCAAGTTCGTATCTCCGATGTCACGGCTTGAACATTTTCGTAGGTCGTAACTTTGCTCTATCTGCATTTCCATACCTACGATAATACCTTGAATTTTATTGATGGCTTCCGTTGAATCGATTCCGTTTCAATTTTTCGATAATAGCTCGATAACATTTAACGAGAGAATTGAGTAAATCGTATTCGTTTAACATATCTAATTCTCATATATTCTCTATCGGACAAAAATTCGTAATAATATCGTAAACTGTTATTATGAAAATTATATTTCTGTTCAAGGACAAATCGGTATCGTCGAATTTTTCAATAATAATCAATCGCAAAAGTAATTTAAATCGTACTTATATATTTTTACGATACGAAAGATTTGAATTATTCGACAATTATTTTTCATAGGAACTTTTCGACTCGATAAAAAAAAAAAGAAAATAATTTAAATGTCTATTAATATTTGACACGATATCGATTCATTTTTTCCTAACAAAAGTAATTACTATTCATTAATATATTGAATATCTTTGATACAAAATAATTAGAAAGTTAATCAGATTCGACAGCTTTATTGGTTAACACTTTAGCTTGTAACTTAGAGACACGGTGACTCTACGTTTGAAGTTAAATTCGCAATTAATTTTCCTTTGCGTGTTAGCAATTTTCGTACTCTCTCTCTCTCTCTCTCTCTCTCTCTCTCTCTCTCTCTCAGTATGTGACTTCAGTAGGATGCGTAGAGACTGTCAAAGGGGAATTAAGTTCGTCGGAATCTCAGCGTATTATCGATGAAATCCATGAGTCTCTGAGAGAAGGCACAGGACTTGTGCGTTGCGATAACTACGTGATATCTACCTCATCCCATACTAATTACGAGTAATATAGAGAAGCGATAACACTAGTCTATCACCACCCTCTTCCCGAATTCCCTCTTGGTATTGCACGATATTTTGCGAGTTGGACTGGACATCGGTATCACGAGAATGCTTTGTCCTTTCTAAATTATGTACAGTAGAACTAATCTCTCTTTCTCTCTGTTTGTATACCCGTATATATGTGATATATATCTAATAATTTATGATTAATAGATAATTAAATTAAATATGTTAAATCCCCCTAAAATAATTTCAATTCTAATTAATACTTAAAACTTTGGATGTGTTATCAATTAAAAATGAATAAATATTTCATTTGACATAAGCTTTTTCAGTAATTAATCTCGTTCACGTATAATCTTTTCCAAAAGTATCGAGAATCAGATTGAGAATCACTGAAGGGGAGAAATACTGCAAATCAACTCGAGTATCAATATTTAAGTTACTGTTTAAACGATTTTGGTAAAAGGAGCTTCAAAGTATTATGAGGCACGGTTTGTTATTATCAATAGCTTCCTATTTTATTAAAGAAAAGTTTCAATATGTTGAATTAGACATAAAAATGACTAATAATTTATTAATCGTCGTTAAAAAAATATTCTCTCAAAGAATTTTCTTCTTTTTCTTCTTCTTCTTTTTCTCCTCTCTTTTTCTCCTTTGATATATATCTCTTTGCCTTTCCTTTCTACGTCTTCTTTTAATTTATCTACGAGAGCTTCCCGTTTTCTACGAATTAGTTTAAAGCGACACACCCATGTTTTATTATAAACGCCGTAAGGATTCTGCGGTAAAACGTAAATTCCAAGTTTCCCTTCACCAAAGTAGAACCAGCTTGATTACAATGGCAGTTAAATATTACTTCCGTCTTAAACGGGACGTGCCTTGTACTCCGTGCTTGCACGATTCCTTAAAAAGCCTTTATTTACGTTCTTAATTTCTCTCTCATAATTCTATTTGAAATCACGTCGTCTTCATCAAAGTGATTTAATCCGTAATAATTAATAGTAAATCGAGTATTGCGAATAAAATTTTAATATTACCAACAAATGAAATTCGCGAGTTAAATTGAAGATAAACACGTTTCGTTCCTACGAATCTCAAAGATTTTATTTTTCAATCTTATCATTGGCTTAAGCATTTTCTTTTTTTTTTTTTTCAACAATATTTTGCGGTAAATCGAGCAACGGACAATTTGAAAAAAATTACTAACAAATGAAACGTAAAACTAGGATCGTCGAAAAAGGACAAAAAATAATGATTTCTCGTCGGACCTATGAAAAAAGGAAAAGAAGAAGAAGACAAAAAAAAAGAAAAAAAAAGAAAAAAGATAAATAAGGATACATATATGCAAAGATTTTATCTGGGAAAATCTAAAATGCAAATTTTTCCTTGTCTATTCGAAGTCACACGAGCGACGCGACGACGCGAATCACCGGCGCGAATAAAAGCTTGGCACATGCTAAAACCTTTTGCACGGAGAAACTTTTCGTCTTTTTGACGATGTGCGATTTATGCATGTATGTATGTACGTATGTATGTATGTATGTATGTATGTTGTACGAATCAATAGTATTCATTGAATATTTCCACGGTTCTCTGAGCTTTTCAAGAGCACTCGCGGCTTATAATAACTGAAAGACGGCGGAAAGCAAAACTCTCCTTAACTTTTCTCTTCGATATAGTATCGTTATGTATGTGTGCATGTATGTGCATATGTATATTTGTATGTTAGCCGAAATATCTCTATCTCAAAAGCTTTTCTCGAAAAAAGAAAAACCAAATAAAATTATTTGACTAAAAAATCTTAGCAGTGTGCTTTCAGTGATAAAAGAAAAGTACCAAAAGAATGAAATATTGGAAAAAGAGGAGAAGAGAAAAAAAAACAACAGAAGTAAAAAAAAATATCAGACTTCGAAAAAGTTTCGAAGTTCAATTAGAAGTTCTTTCTTTGAGAAGGTTTTTTTCCGGTTTCGGTCCAATTTTTTGTACGCACTTGATACCCCACAAAATTAAGAGAGAAAAATTAAGATAGACGAGTAGAGAGAGGAAAAGTAAAGAAAAAGTTAAGAAAAACAATGACACCTTAACTCGTTCATTTATTTCTATTTGCCCATCGTATCGTGGACGTGACTTCATAAAAAAAGTTCCCGAGACTACTGAGAGAAGGAATTGTACAAGTTGAAGCTGGGGAAATGTGCCAAGTCATGAAAATTTAACAGCTGCATTCTGACAGATTTTACGTAGCTAAACTTTCTTAACGAAACCGATTACTTATTTTGTACTATCGTCCAATTTTACATTTTTTTTCTGTTTTTTTTTTTTTTTTCAACATATTTATACGCAGAAGAGAGAGCATACGTTATTAACATTAATTTGTGTAATCCATTAATTCGTGAAATACGATAGTAAGTGATAACATTGTATAATATAGACAATGGCTGACAAGTGAAGAATGCATAAAGAAACTAAAAAAATAGTCGAGAAACCGTTCTTTAAATTGGTTTAATTTCCACTCACCCTTCTATTATCAATCGTCATTCTTCTCAGCTTCTGACCAGACGTATTAAAACGTGTTGAGATGTATT